CCAAGTTCCATCTGGGCAAGTGTGCATGTCCCAGGCAAGCTGAGCACAGTGACAACTGCAGGGAGACACCAGGGCCTCAGCCATCCTGTCTCTGGGCTGGGACTCAGCCAGGACATCTCCCTTCTGGGACCAGCCTCACCTCCTTTCCCGCTTTCTCTTCCTTCTCTCTCTCTCTCTCTCTCTCTCTCTCACACACACACACACACACACACACACCCACACACACACACACACTCTCACGTTCTGCAAAAGCAGCTCCCAGTGTTGGCTGGGGTCGTGTCCGCCATGAGGGAGAAGTGACCACCTGCACTGCGAAAGCTTAACTCAGAGCTGCCGCTGTGCAACCGTGACTAACAGGAACCACGCGTCTCGGGCCAAGAGCACTTCTTTGGGGTTGAGGCGATGATGATGGTGGTGGTGGTTTACTAAGCACCTATCCCATTCTAGACAGCGCTAAACCCTTTACACCCGTCATCTCGTTTAATTCCAACATCACTGTTACCTTCGCCGACGAGAAAATTGAGTCTTGGGAATCTGTTCGGAATCACACACAATAACTGGCAGTTCCAAGAACTTAAAGTTGAGCTGGTGGGACCCGGCCTGTGGCTGCGGGTGCCATGCCGCATTGCTTCCTGAGTGGTGTCTGCGTGATGAGCCCCCACCGTGAGACCTCCCATCACTTTAGACTCTGCATTGTCATGAGTCACATTAGCTGATACGAGTACACACTCGTGTCAAACCATATGAGGAGTGACAGTAAAAGCATCAGACTCGGTCAGACTTTCACAAATACCATTTTATGGGCAAAACTGGAATAAGAGATGAGGTTTCTGAACATGTACAGTTGCATGGAAAACATATTCTATTCTTCAGAACTGTCACTCATCTGTCCCACACTCAGCCCCTTTAGTCCCTGCCTTGCAGGACACCTGCATGGTCCTTCGGTAGGGTGTCAGCCCCATTGTCTCAGTCATATCATGGAAGGTATCACTGGTCCCAGAGGAGCATCCTGTTGACCCTGAGGGTCCATTGCAGAGAGAATTACTGTCCTCACTGAAGACTGGGCTCAGGGTCTCCAGGCAAGGGGGGTGCAGAGCCTGGCAGGGACGCGTCTGTGTGGTCAGTGGCTTCCTGTTTTTGACTGTCCTCCTCTGTGTGTCCTCTTATCTTTTTGTGCTTGCTTTTCTCCTTGCCATTCTGAAAAAATCCTTCTAGAAGGATCCTAAAATGCCTTCCTAGAGAGGTAGGACTGCAGCCAGCTTGCTGAGTGACCTGGAAGAGCAGCATTGGAGCTGAAGGTGCCGAGCAACCCTTGCTTGTCATGAGGATCTTCTTGAAGTTTTGGGGTTTTTCATTTGTACTCTCAGGTGGAGGGTGAAGCAGAGGGAAAGACCTCCAGAGGTAACTTCTGAAGGAAATAAGCCCCCAGCACACGGCACACTGTTTCCCAGGCTGCCTCGCGCATCCTGCAGGCCTCACGCTCTTCATGGGAAGGTGCTTCCAGGGTCTGGGAAAGACCTGCAGCATCCAGCAATAGCCTCCTATGGACCAGGGTGCATAGAATTACTCCTGTGCCACCCGCTGTGTACTCCTGTGTCACCAGTGTACAGATGAAGAAACAGGCTCAGCCCGTGATGTACGGGCTGGAGCCACACTTATAATGAGGGCAGAGCTGAGGGAGACCCAGGGCTGCCTCCATCAGACCCTGTGCAATACACTGAAAGGGTCATGCCCTCAAGGGACTCATAGGTTAGTGCCCCTGCATGTTCAAATTTATGTCCAGATGTTCATGGAGAGAAGAAGCCATTGTTCTTGCCAATAAAATAATTTTTTTTGGTCTGGAAGAGCCAAAAATTAGAACTCAAAGTCTCAACTAAAACAGCTTATCCAATGAGCATCCTTTGCAGAGGTGGGCGGGGTGGGGTCGAGGATGGGTGCTCACAAGTGGTTTCCTGAAGTGGCTGCAAGGAGCCCAGCTCAGGGGCCTGGGGCCGGGGAAGCCTGAGACAGTTTCCACTGGAGGAAAGAGGACACTGAGCTCTGCGAGACCCCACAGAGAAGTGAGGTTCTTGTTGGGGTGGCTTTTAGTTCTGAGAGCAGGACGCCATCTCTCCCACTCAGGTCTTTCCCAGGCCTGGGAGCACCTTCCCGGGAAGAGCACGAGGCCTTCGGGATGTGGGAGGCAGCCTGGGAAACGGGCCGTGTGCTGGGCGCTTGTCTCCTTCAGAAGTTCCCTGTGTGTTGCTCATTGCTTACAGAGGTGAAGGAATTCACAGAAATATAAATAAATGCAATTGTCTTTCCATCCTCAGTTATCTGTACATGTGGGCCCTGCGGGGTCCTTTAAACAGTAATAACAGCTTCCCCAGGTCTGGATGTGAGAAGTGACAGCTACCACATAATAGTAGTAATGGCACTTGGTGGGCATTTATCTCACGCCAAGCAGCTTTCTGAATGCCTTATAGTTCAGCTCACTGAATCTTCTCAACCCCAAAGAAGTAGGTTCTCTGACATCCCGATTTTGCCGGTAAGGAAACTGAGTCGTAGAGCGTTAGGTCACACGCCCAAGGTCACACAGGCGAGGACACATCCTGGGAGGAAGTCTGAGCAGCAGTGTGGACTTTCTGGCTCCCGCCTGGGACTCTGGAAGCGTGTCCTCGGCCCTACCTGCAGGCTTTCCCATCGGTACACACAGGTATTGCACTTGCGTGTAAGGCGTCTGGGCGGCGTGGACCTGAGCGCCTCTCTCAGAATCCACAGAGATTGTGTCTGGCAGTGCCTTTGAGGGACACACCACCATGGTTTCCACTTCTTTCAGGCAAAAGTGATGATGAAGAGAGTCTCTGCAAGTCTTCCCACGGGGCAGGGAAAGGAGCCACTGAGGACGGCAAGGACCATAAGCGCCCCAAACGTCCCCGAACCATCCTGACAACCCAGCAGAGGCGGGCGTTCAAGGCCTCGTTTGAAGTGTCGTCCAAGCCGTGCAGAAAGGTACAGAAGGGAAGCGGGAGGAGAGGGCAGGGCCGCTCCTGCGTGGTCGCTTGACTTGTGTAGGGTGTCCACGGGCACCTGGGGTCAGGGCGGTGGGAGGCTGCTCGGTCTGTGCAGGTGGCCTTGAGCCTGGTGGGGTCTGAAGCTGTGGCCAGGGCTATAGCAGAACCTCCCGAGCTTTTGTGCCCACTCCGCTGGCCACATGCTCACATCTGTTACTCTGGAGAGCAGTGGGAATACCCCAGGTGCCACTTGGGGTGACCGCGGTGCTGTGACCGAGGGCGGCACTGCAGTGGCTGGTGGCATGTACTCTGTTGGTCCCATTTGTTCCTCTTGGCGAGGTGACCTGGGGATTTGTCCATGTGACATTTCCTTCGTTTGTGCTGTTTGTGCTCCGCCATCTGGATGGGCCGCCGTTTGTTTCTTTGTTCACCTGTCGATGGGTGTTTGGGTTGTTTTTAATTTGGGGCTGTTACGGATCAGGCTGCTGCGCATTTTCATAAAAAAAAACAAAAAAAAAAAACGATGGTTGAATGAGATGGACATTTATTTCTTTCGCATATCACAGTCCGAGGGTCACAGTCCCAGACTGCCGGGGCTGCCCTGCTGTCCGTCACATGGGCCGGGAGGCTGCTTAGTTGTCACCATTGCTCACGGGCACTGTGGTGGAGAAAGAGGAAGTAGAGGGCAAGCAGCCGTCTTTTTAAGGGCAAACCCAGGATTCTCTGCATCACTTTCATTCATATGTTTTGGCCAAAATGTAATCCCGTGACTGCCTCCAGCAAGGGGGCTGGGAAGCGAGTCTTGGTGACTGCGGGCCCCACTGATGCGTGGGGATTCTATTTCTAACAGGAGGAGGGGAGGGTGGACACTGGGGACAAGCAGAGGTCTCTGCAACCAGTAGCCAAGTCTGTTTATTAAGTACACGGCATTCATTGACTGCTTGTCACATGCTGGTTACTGTCATTTATGTGCTACAAATAAGAAAGCCCTTTAATTGAAATTCATGGAGGAAATACGTTTAAAATTTTTAGCATTGTTTTCCCTACACCCTTATCTGTGTCAGTTACCTTTTTCTTCAGTAACAAACAAAATCATAGTGGTTTCCATCCCACAGTGGTTTCCTGCCTCTGGGCCGTGCGTTGGCTGCAGCCCGCCCGGGCTCAGGTTCCGACCGCTTCACCTGTCCCTCATTCAAGGGTCCAAGCTGATGGAGCCGCGGCCACCTGGGCACGCTGTTGTCATGTAGATGGCAAAAGGCAAGAGGCCACGTCACGCCCGGCAAGCCCATGGAAGCCCCTCGGGGACGTCACACCCCCTCACATCCACTCACATTCCACGGCCACAGCCAGTCGTCGGCCAGGCCTGACGTGAGCTGTGGGTGCGTGGGGGAGGCGCGGAGGGGCAGTGGTGCAGTTGGCCACTGTTCTGACCTTGGAAAGATTCACCCATGGAACTTCTTGGCCCTTTTCGTGTGACTCCAGCCAGGAGAGGTTCTGGTAGAAGGTGAACTAGCCCTGCAGCGGGCTTACCCAGGACAAGAGATCACCCCCTCTCCGTGTACTTACTGTACCTGTAACTAGACTCCCAGCGTCCACACAACCTGTACCCAGCGCTGGTCCCTGGGCAGCCTCCAGGCCACCAGCGGCCGGCAGTGCACACGTTGCTGCAACCCCGGGGAGGGACGTGAGGACCAGAGCATGGGGGCAGCCTGGGGAAAGGTCACCTCTGTTGGAGTCAGGCAGGGCTTTGTGGAACAGGTGGCTCCTGGGCTGGGCCTGAGGGATGGATAGGGTGTCCTCAGGTGGAGATACACTGCTATCCTAGTTGGCTCAGCAAAAAGCTGTGCTTTTAAATGGCTCTAATCACCTGACTTCTCCTGAGCCCCAGCGCAAGTGGCTGAGGAGGGGTGACCTAGCCAAGGCCTCCTGTCCACCCTCCTGATGTGTTTCGTCAAGGAGCTCCTCCCCAGAATCCCACCAAGAGGGAGCCATGTCCCTCCAGCCCATCGCCCTGTGCCGCGTGGAGGGCAGATGTTTTAACACATTTCTTCATTGCAGGGGTCCCCGTCGCCCCACCTCTGCACAGGCCCGGGGTGTGTGCCTGCTCCAGAGCTGTCTGCTCTGCTGATTCCCAATGGGCCCTGTCTTATTCCCTTTGGGTCTGGCTCACACCGGTGACTGTGAAGATGTGTATACGTGACATACCTAAAGTCACCTGGCGCATGAGGGACAGAACCAAAAACTAGGGCAATGAATTAAGACAGGAGAAGAGAGCAAGCGAGGAGCACTTGCTTTTGCACAGTGACCTTTCACTAAGTGGGCCAGTGCGTGTGATGGCTGTCAGCTAACTGCAGGCTTTGTAAAGGTCTGAGAGCACCTGAAGGCCTGGTTCCCAGAGTCAGAGACGCCGAGACCTCTTGGAGTCCAGCTCTAATCGACTGTCATTCCTCCCTCTGTTTACTGGGGAAGGACCCCCTGCACCTGACTGAGTGGTGTTCTCGCACTGGGATTTGGCTGCGTGTCGGGCAGTGGCAGGCGCCACTGGGACGTGGCCTGCGGCCTTCCTGTGCTCTGGATGGAGTGCCCTGCCTTCCTCGGACACCAACGTTTCTGTTTCTGATGTTCTGTTTTTTCAAGGTGAGGGAGACGCTGGCTGCGGAGACAGGGCTGAGCGTCCGTGTGGTCCAGGTGTGGTTTCAGAACCAGCGCGCTAAGGTAACTGCTTCTCACGTCGTCTGTGTGGCCGGTTCCCCGAAGCAGGGGCAGCAAGACTGCGCTTGCTGCAGGTGTTCTGACCAGAGCTCGTGCGATGGAGAGTTCTTTTTTTTGTTAATCCTTATCTGAAGATATTTTTTCCCATTGCTTTCCAGAGAGAGTAGAGGGAGAGAGAAAGAGAGAGAGATGCATCGATTGGTTGCCTCCCTCACTTGCCAGGGCTGGGGAGCAAACCCACAACCTAGTTATGTGCCCTTTACCAGGAATCGAACCCGAGACCGGTGGGCGGGCCGACACTCTAGCACTGAGCCACACTGGCAAGGGTGATAGAGAGTTCTCCCAATTCAGAAATTCAGTTATCGACAGTCATTTCCAGCACAGCCGCCACACAGCAGTGGAGAGGCGGGCGTCTGTCCTGTGAAACGGTTTTTATTTTCCCAGTGGCTGTGACTGCGAGCCTGGGCAGCATGTGTGGGGATAAATGCCTTTCTGTGCCTTTTGGTAAAAGCAGGTTCTTTAAGTCACATTAGTTTAACCCAGATCCCAAAGTTCTTTTCAAATTTCAAAGACAAGCCTATGCGGCATCCATATGACTGCAGATGATGACACCGTGGCCCGGGCGCCTCCCCCAGGCCAACATCGGCCCGCCCCAGGTGCGGGGCCGCAGCTCAAGCTGTCGTCTGCATTCCCGCCAGGCCCTGCTTTAGGCCTGGACCCCAGGTGCTCGCAGCCCTCGTCTGCAGCTCGCTATCCCACCTGGTTGTGTAAAGCAGCAGGCTCCTAACCGAACTACTCAAAACACGGCTGCTGGTGTGTCTCCTATGGTCCTTCCCGTGGAAGGATTTCATGGTTTTAGACAGGGATGGGGAACCTTTTTTCTGCCAAGGGCCACTTGGATATTTATAACATCATTCTCAAGCCATACAAAATTGTCTAGGGCCGTACACGGCACCCAGGTCGAATGTTCCCCGCCCCTGGGAAATGACCCACAGCCTGTAGAGTCACATGGCATGGAACACGTTCGGAGCTCTGAGAAATCTGCGGTAAAGAATATATTTTTTTAACCTAGTGTTTCCTATGCACACATTCAAAGTGTGTATTAATCTCTCATGGAACCCTAGCATTCTATGGAACACAGTTTGACAAACGCTGGGTGACAGTTTTCCTCCCAGGAAGTGTGTGCTCACGTGGTCTTTGGGGGACGAGCTCCTTACCTAGAGGCCTGGCTTTCTGAGGGCCCTCGGATGCGAAGGCTGGCAGGTAGGGGAGTGCGTGGGGACAGCCTCCTGGCTCACCCCAAGTCACATCCTGTTGGCAGCCCCTTGCTGGGCTGTAGGCCTCTTCCCCACACTCACGCCGCACATGAAACTGTCACATAAGCAGCAAGTTTTACTTGTGGAGAGGAAACCCCTGCTCGTGCTGAGACCTCGTCACTGCCCAGCTGCTGTCATCCCATGGTGGCGGCAAAGCAGTGACGCAGAGAACTCCAGGCACTGCTCCTTGAACGTGGCCCCCTTGTGACTCACCCTGAGGGATGTGGCCCCTCTCCTTGCACGGGAGCCGTCCCCGAGGCCTGAGCCTGCTGCAGGGCCCTGCCGTCTAACCCTGTGGTTCTCTTCTCATCAGATGAAGAAGCTGGCCCGGCGGCAGCAGCAGCAGCAAGACCAGCAGAACACGCAGAGGCTGGGCACCGGTAGGTGGGCCCTCCTGCTGTCCTGGGGGGCCGGGCCCCTCCTGCCACAGCCTCCAACTGCCCAGTTCTTAGGACAACACTTGTGGGCTCCTCAAAGCCCAGGCCTGTGGGGTGGGGAACCTTCCAGGGAAAACTGAGTCCGAGGAGCTGTGATGGGGTCGAGGGCCCTGGCTGTAGGCCTGGCACTGCCTTCGGTGGCACTAACCTTGTCCAAAGCCCCTGGCCCTGACCCTGTGCAGTGTTGGGGGGCAGTGTGAGGACAGCCCACAGCTCCTCATCTTGCCGGGTTCTCCATCGTCTGGGCAAATCAACTCAAGAGACGATGCCACTGTGACTCAGCCCTTTCCAGATACATAAAGTGGGGGAAATAATGATAGTAAACAAATAATGGAGCATGTTTGTAGGTCACGGCGCTCTCACGCCTGCTGACCCAGCTCCTGCAGCAGCCACCCTGAGGGGAGCAGAGAAGGCACTAAAGGCTCCACAAGACTCACCCCTGACCTGCATGAACCCTCATTTTTTAACAGGGGAGGTGTGAGGATTGGGAGGGAGTGGAGGACAGGTGTGGGACTAGACCATCAGATGCCCTTGTTTTAATGACGGTTCAGGGAAGCTCTCCAGGTTCCACTGCCCCCGTCCCTGTTCTCCAGGGTGACCTCTGATGGCCCTTCTAAGGCACAGGCTGGGACCCATCGATGTCACCCCATTTCTACCCATTCTGTGTACGAGGAAACCAAACCCCGGAAGTAAAATGAATTATTTAGCTGTGGTCGCACAGCTTACGTGGCTCCTATCTTCCATGACATGGTGCTCATCCCCAGGTGGCCACAGCCTGTAGTCCCCTTGGTCGCTGAATAGGGCTGACCTGGGTATGACTTCCTAGACTGAGTCTGAAAAGGTGTGTCAGAGTCTGCTTCCCGCTCTCCGGGATCGCATGCTCTGGGGAAGCCAGCTGCTGCGCTGTGAGGCACTCAGCAGCCCTGTGCCACCCAGTGGCTGGGCCACGGCGGGCTCCCTCATCCAGCCGTCCCTCTGCAAGTCCTGGCCTGCCTGCCCTGCACCCACCTGTCCTCTCACTCTCTTCTCTATATGGAGCCATAGCAAAGGCAGGGACACCTGTAATGAGTGTTGTGACATTCAGAAGATGGTCTGTGTCCCTCTCTCCCAGCGGGAGATGATGGGCTGCCTCTGGAGAATGACCTGCCTCTTCTTTGTCCCACAGCTCAGACAAATGGTGGCGGGGGTGCAGGGCTGGAAGGGATCATGAACCCCTACACGGCCCTGCCCACCCCGCAGCAGCTGCTGGCCCTCGAGCAGAGCGTCTACAGTGCGGACCCCTTCCGGCAGGGCCTCACCCCACCCCAGATGCCTGGAGACCACATGCACCCCTACGGTAAGAGGGCACCCCTGGCAGGGCGCAGGCTGGGGACCAATGCTGTCACCTCATCCCTGTCCCTTCTATAAACAAGGAAACAAGACCAGGAGGTACAATGATCTACCAGTGAGCACTTGGCATGAGTGATCACCGCTCTGCAGGAGGACCCTCTGTGATGCTGGCCTTTGTTTTAATGATATATTTCAAGTTCAGTGGTCCCCCTGCCCTTCCTTCAAGGTGACCCCTGCTGGCCCATAGGCCGCCGCCCCACAGGGACCTGTCACACCGTGTTTGTATGGGTTTCTCATTCCCTCCCAAACATGTCTGCCTGCTTCCCAGCTGCTCCCTGAAGCTGCAAAGCCCATGGGAAGTTGCTGGGGTCACCCCCTGATGGCCACAGAAGAAAGACCAGCTCCCAGGTCCACCAGCGCTGTCTCCATTCTTCCTCCTTTCAGAGCCGCTTGGTCATTAGTTTAAGTAGGAGGTTGTGCTTCCAGTGGAGACCTGCCTGTTGTGGTTGAATTTCCTGCCTGCCTTTTGAGAGGGACCCAAGGGTCAGCACCATCTAGGTGGGAGGCCGGAGGTCGGCGAGCTCTGGCTTAAAGGGAATCTATGAAAGCCCAGGAACAATGTTCTGACTGGGCCATATGGACTCCTGTCAGGTGTTCTCATGGAATTCCTGAACAGAAGCTGACGTGTGAGGTGAAAAGGACCCCATTCCCACCCCACCAGCACTGGGGTTGCTCTAGATCTGGTGTGTGGAGAGCTGAGCCCCTCCACTTGCCCAGTGGCTGGGGCCTGGCAAGGGTGCCAGGGGTGGGGTGCCCAAGCTCTGGGTGGACGGCTGGAGTTCGACCTCAGAGCCAGACACAGGGCACCAGGTTTTATACAGAGGTCAGTGGCCTGTGCAGCATCCACCTCTGCTGTGAAATCTGCAACACAGAACCCTGAGCTAAAAAGTTTCATTTGGCAAGCCCTCAATACACCAGTCTCAGAGACATTTGGCCTCAGCTCACACATTTGGTCAAACAGCTTCTCCCTCGCCTTTATTTTAAAAGATGCCCTTGGTTGTTTACGTAGCCCTGTCTGCCCCGTGATGCTTTGGCAAACCCCGGGCAGACCAGACCCTCTGTGGGCCTCGCTGACCCGCCTCCATCATTCATTCCTATGCGGATGTCTGCTTCCTCGGGACACGTGTGACCTCTGTACGTGCCGTCACTCCACAGCTGTGGGAAAACAGCAAAGGACTTTTTTTCAAATTATTATATTTTCAGAGTCCCAGGGGTCTTGTTACATAAAAGTCCTCATGAGGAACCTTTCAATAAAATGAATAATTAAAGGTTCAAATGAATAATTAAAGGCCTAATAAACTCATTTTCACCTGTCCCATTTTCTTGACGTGGAGGTGAAGGGCGTGCACCTCTGGGTTGTGGTCGTGGTCCCCAGTTGGTCCTCCATTGGGTGCCAGTGATTCCAAGGCGGGTGCCTCACCTTCTTCTCATCTGCTGTGCGAATTCAGGGAGGCAGAGGCACTGGGTGTGCCTGAGCATTATCATGGGAGGGCACCCAGCTTGTTCTCAGAGCCCGGGTTTCTTTTCTTACCCTCTCTCCTTCCAGGACCTTGGTTGCAGGTTGCAGCTGAGCCCCAGGAGCCCTCTCTGTCCAGCCAGCCCAGTCCCCACATTCACCCTTAGCCTGTCCAGCAGGCCCAGTCCCCACACTCACTCTCAACCTGTCCAGCAGGCCCAGTCCCCACACTCACTCTCAACCTGTCCAGCAGGCCCAGTCCCCACACTCACTCTCAGCCGTTTGCCATCTGCTTTGCCTGTGCACAGCTTAGTGTTTTGTCATGTATTCAATTGTTGCACTTTAGGCATGAGCCCGTAGGGAGACGAGAGACCTTCTGTGGACAGGGACTGTGTTCCCTCCTTTTCTGTGTAGCTCACCCCCACCCCCGAGCCACCCCAGTAAGCTAGATGCTGGTGAGGTTTCCAGCACCGAGATGAGTCTCCACTTCTTGACCCTCACACCCGTTTCATCTCCATTTCAGGTGCCGAGCCCCTTTTCCACGACCTGGATAGTGATGATACCTCCCTCAGTAACCTGGGTGACTGTTTCCTAGCAACCTCAGAAGCTGGGCCCCTGCAGTCCAGAGTGGGGAACCCCATTGACCACCTGTACTCCATGCAGAATTCTTACTTCACCTCCTGAGTCCTCCCCTGGAGCTCGGTGGCTGGGCTCCTATGGAGCACCCACAGTGGGAGGGGGCGGCTGGCTGTAGGACGGGGAGGCGGGAAGAGGTGGGCTGGGGAGGGCGTCTTGTCGGGGATGCTGTCGAGTGATGCTCTGGGGTAGGTCAGCATTTCCAAAGGCTGGGTACATACGGATTGCATAGTTTAATGTTTCTAATCAGAGTCTTAGCGGTAGTGTGCAGGTGTGTTTGTCGCTAAGGACAGGGACGTTTAACGTAGACACTGTTGTGCAGACTAGATACCTAGAGACCTCTACCAGCCCCCAGCCCCGGGGAAGCGCTGTGGAGAGGTGCCTACGTCTGTTCCTGCTCACAGCCCGTAGACAGGCAGGCAGGTAGATGTGTGTGAGTGTGTAGCCTTTCATGCTTTACCATCGAAGTCTACTCCTGATGATGACAGACACCGCTGTACAGCAAAGGTAACTTTATTTTCAGTGTGAGCTCTATTTAAGGAAAAGCTTGATGCACTTAAGTTATAAAATGAGATGATTTACTTTTATAAACTTTATTTTTAGTTGGAAGAGACTCGGCAGGGCAGAGAGGGCAGTTCCCCCTGGCCCGCGGCTCCGGGTCCCCGTCGCTGAGGTCTGGGCAGCGACTCCATGTGGCTGGCAGGCTTCACGGGGGTTTTTGCTCTTTGGGGTTGAATCACTGGGCCAGGGGACAGAGCAGTTCCTGGTCTGACAGGTGGTTGTTGGTGGCGCCAGGCAAGTCAGTTCTGCTCTTGACTGTCATCGTTTGCAGGTGGAGGGTGAGGCTGCTGGTCTGTACCTACCTCATGGGGGACACGGGGGCCTAGTTCCCCCCGGGACACACGAGCAGGGCTGAGATGAATATCTGAGAATTGTTTAAAATTCAATTAGACCAGTCCCTGGGCAAAGGCAGACCCTGGGGCTGCAGAGCCCAAGGCCACCGGGGTCCCTTCTGGGAAGCCTGGGCTGCAGGCACCAGCACAGAGGCGCTGTGGGGGCCGAGTCCTGCAGGCGAGGAGGCTGAGGCTGGGGGGCGGGGGGCATTGTGCTGTTCCAGACCAGGGTGGCCAGCCACAGCCTGTGCTTATGGTCTGCCCTCTAAGAAAGGTTTCTACGGTTTTCAAGGTTGTTAACAAATAAAAATAGAAGAGAAAGATACTGTGCCACGGGGTGTACGAGGCCTGGACAAGCTGAAATACATCTGTACTTTCATAGAAAGGGTGCTGCCCCGTGCTGGGCTCTGTTTGTGTGGCTAACAGAGGCGCAGAGGCCCAGGTGGAAACGAGGGCCCTTCCTCAGGCTCTTTCCTGACCCTGAGCACAAACAGCCCCTCTGCCGTCATACACGGGACAGCTGCCGCCCCACTCTCCACGTGGCGCTGAGATAGCTACTCCTGGGCCCAGAGGCCGAGAAACCAGAGCGAGCTGCTCGGGAAGATGGGCAGCTGGGACTCTCTCAGAGGACAGGCCCCACCTCCCTCCTGGGGATGCCACCGGTCATTACGGCCTTGGACCCAGCGGCTCGTCCCCACCACCCTGTGCCAGGCCAGAGGGCGCATGCCCTGTTACAGTAGCATCTACTTTGTGTGATATTTGTGCTCTAGTTAATAATTTATGCAAGGAACCCCAGCCAGCCTGGCGAGCAGACATCAGCGACAGTGGGGCCTATGGGCCTCCGTGAAAAGGTCCCCTGGAGAATGTAGCAGATCCCATGGGAGTGAACCGAATAGAGATCCTGTTCCACTCCTTAACCTTGGTCAACAGATGAAATTAAAAACCTCTCACAAATGAGCTGTGGTTTATTCAGGGGTGCGGATGGTGGGTGGGAACCAGGGAACACGGGTGTTTTGTCAACAGGGTGATGGGGCTGAGCTTCACATGATGGGAGAGAGTGACTTCTGCGCAACCAGGAGAAGGGACTCACCCGTGAGCATTGCATCCTCACAGTCCTGTTCATGGGGGCAGAGGAGGCTGCAAAGTGAGCTGTAGGAACATTTGCTCAGGACTCAGAACAGAGTCACCGGGCAGGAGACAGTCCCATGAAGAGCTGAGGGCAACTGCCCAGCCAGTGTGGGCGAGCTGACAACAGACTGGACCCCTGATAGGTCCCCTAAGTTCTCAGCAGCTTTATCGTGACATATGGGTGGGTGATCATTATGACCATGAAGGAAAGAAGAGAGTAACACCACGAGCCATACTCAAAGGGTGGTGGCATTTTTTGTGTTTTCTCACTCACCTGCAACTGTCCAGCCTCCCCGCCACTCTGGCTCTCTGCCCCCATGTTGGGAGCTGGCCTTGCCTCTTCCTATCAGCCATGAGGCCGGCTGGCAGGAGGAGCCTCAGATGGGGCTAACACTAACTGCTGCAACAAATCCCCCCAAGTTATAATTGCTCAGATCAGTGTGTATACATTTGTTCATGTGAGACCTGGGAGGGAGTCAAGCTAGAAGGGCTCCCTCTTCCGTGCCCAGCGAAGGCTTTGATTATGGCTTCCAGGTTGTCCTGGGGACTGCTAGTCTCCTTGTTTCCCCTTCAGGCTGAAAGGGGGCCCGAAGCTCCCCCAGTTCCTGGCTGCAAGGCCTTGGGCAAGCTTTTTGGCTCTGCTGAGCATCTGTGCCATATCAGTCCAGGTGCGCCCCTGCCACCACCCAGAGGGTCAGGAGGACAAGGGTGACAGACACTCGAGTGCCAATGTGTGTCCGTGGCTATACCCGCCAGACCCTGCTCTTGTGATGGTCAGTGATGGAAGGCTTGGGGGGGTCTCAGACCATACTGAGGAAATAGAAGAACACACCCTGGGTCACGAAGGTAGGGAGGTGCCTGGCCATGTGTCACCATAACTTGCTTAAATCCCAATGTGGGTCTCGGACAGCTTGAGTCACCACCATGGGGGTTTTTTTGGGTTTGGGTTTGCTTTTTAAGGGCATGCAACCCCAATGAGAAGCTGTTGTCACTTGGGGCTCAGATGAGACTGAGACCCAGATCTGCAGCTGAGCCCTTTCTGAATGGGAGCGCAGGGAGTTGACCTAACATGAAGGAAAATGGGAAGAAGTGGGATGAGTTTGTCAACTCCAAGGACACAGCAAACTTCACTGAACTGCAAGGAAATCAAAGTATTTCTCTCTCCCTTCCCATTCCCAACCCCCACACAGATAGAAATATGTTCAGTCAACCCAAATGGGGCAACCCAACACATTGAACTATAGTAAAACCTCATGGCCACAGCTGAGAAAACCGAATTAATACCTGATTTCCCTGAATCCCTTTATTACCACGTTGAAACTTTCTGTTCGATGATGACTGGAGGCCTTGAGATATTTGTGCTAAAAATAGAGTCCCTCTGCCCATGAGTGATATGGGCCATTGGAGATTCCTTGTTCGATTTGAGTTTCCTTAGATGTGTAACCTTGAGTAAGGCTCTGAGCCTTCATTTCTTCACCTATAAAAAGTAGTGTCCTACCCTGGCCGGTGTGGCTCAGTTGGTTGTCCTATGCACTGAGAGGCCCCTGGTTCGATTCCTGCTCAGGGCACACTCCCGGGTTGTAGGCTCCATTCCCAATAGCGGGTGTGCAGGAGTCAGCCAATCGATGTTTTGCTCTCACATTGATGTTGCACTCTCCCTCTTTCTCTCTCTAAAAATCAATAAAAATATATTTAAAAAAAATGTAGTGTCCTGCTCAGGTGGACGCACACAGCAAGGGGGAACTCACTTTCTCTGCCAGCAGCTATGGGGCACGGCTCCCACTGCCTGATGGGCCTTCTCCCCTCCAGGCAGGAATTCTGAAAAAAAAGAAAAAAGCCTGTGGTGCCCCAGGCCCCTGTGGCTGTGCGTTAGCTAATCCGCACCCCCTGCCACCCCAGGTGCCTAGGAGGGGAAAGGTGGAGGGAGCCTGCCCTGAACGGTGGTGCAAACCACACAGCCTACTTGTGTAGCTGAGCAGTTGGGCCTTCTTAGCACCTTACTCACTTATTTCACTCACTCAGGAAGCATTTGCTGAGCACCCTGAGGATGCCCGGCTCTGGGAAGGTCAGGGAAATGCAGGCGAGCAGAAGGAAGCTTGGCCCTGCCTCATGGAGATGACAGCTTCTGGGGGAGCTAGCAATAACCAAAGCCCTGCTCAGCTGGATGTGCATTAGCATCAAGAGTCACAGAGGAGAAGAGGGAGAGCTGCGAGGAGGATGTCAGAGGTGTGACCTAGTCCGGAAGGTGGGCAGGTGACAGTGGAGGCGAGACTTTATTCCTCCCCCAGGGACCTCCTCCATCAGGCAGTGAGTCTGTCTCTTCTTTCTATAAGGGCTGTTCTAACTGCCGGAGGTGGAGAGAACCTGACAAATTAATGCCCAGGTGTTCGCTGATAAGGTCTAAAAAATTGCTTCTAGTGTCTTATAGGACAGTCTTCAGAAGCAAAGGAAGGGCCACTGTCACTCAGGGGTACATGCCCAGTAAGCCTGAGGTGAACACTGCCGTTTCCTAGCCTGGGCCGCCCTTCACCCTGCTTCTGATAACGTCACCCTGGCCTCCTTTGGGGACTCGACCTTCCTCCACTGTGCGTGAGCTTTGCCGGACTGTAAGTCAAGCGAATGGGCTGCCTCACCCAAGGAGCAGGGGCACGTCGGCAAACCCTGTCGCAGCCTTGAGCCCGGGGGACTGGCAAGACAGCGAAACCTGTGCGGAGCAGTTCACTTCTGGAGGCCACCTGTGCGACGGCCAGACACCTCCCGCCATCCCGGACCCCGGAGCTGCCCCCCCTGCTGCCCCAGACACCCCGTGACTTCCATAACCCCCCGTGCCCGAGAGCCTGAGTCGGTTTCAGTTGTTTGCAGTAAAAGAAAAATCCCTGACGGAAGCGGCATAGCTACAATTTTTGGGGTGGTTTGTGTTGTACAGAGGGTGTGCGTGTGTGTGTGTGCGGCTATTATGGCCGCCCTCTGGATTCGCCTGGGCAGGTGTTACTTCCTTTACTTCATAGGCGAGGAGTCTGTAGTTCCGAGAAACTAAGGCCGGGTCTCGAGTTGTAACGCATTTCCCTGACCCTGAGTGGCAAGCACGTGGAGGTCCAGGAGCACTGCCTGCGGGCCCTGCTGCGGGGGCACAGGCT